TACATTTAAATAATTTTACAAGATAAACTGTATACAGTCTTATATGTAAAACAATGTTTTGAAGAACACATTTAACAAGATAAGATTAAAAATTATTTTTATGGTATATATAAATTTAAGGACTAAAAGATTTTAAAAAAATATAGTTAGAAAACTAAATATTTTCTTATAAAATAAGAAGATTTCATTAAAGATAATGGATATTTTCGTTAAAAATAACGGATTAGATGAAATTAAAATAAATGTAGAAGATAATAGACAGGATTAAAAAAATTTAAAAATAATAAATAAAATTGAAAAAAATATAAAAATAAATAAATAATTTATTAAATTAACCCTGAGTTATTTAAATGAATTGTCTTGCTTTATTAATAATTCCAAGTCACAACTAATTTTGGTGCATGGTTTATGGACCCGAAGGCCCTGAAAAAAGGTTCAGCTTGGAGTTATGGTCCTGTATTTAAAGACCCAAATTTTATTAGCATCATGAACTGGTAGCCCAAAAAAAATGGTGGTCACGCTTGAAGCATCAGTTAAATGCAAGTTTGAAGCATTTCCAAGTGGTAAGAGGAAAGTTTTTCTCCTTCCACACCCCCCCCCCCCCTCTGGCCTCCTTTCTCCTCCTTTTTTCCTTTTGCGGAAGTAATAGGCAATATGGGTAAAAGGCATTTTGGAAATAAGTGATTGTATGCAAAAGCTGTTACCTATCATTAATATCACAAAAAATTTGAGCATGATTGGTACCCAAAAATCAAGGGGAACCTAACTGCAAATTACTACAAAAGTTTGATGACACAAAGGTAAAAACAAGAAACATAAGAATAGGCAGGAATAATATTCTATGCTAAGAGTTAGGTACCAAAACATGATTTGTTCATGGTGGCAGGTGGTTGTGGCTCATGAGATGACATGGATTTCTCATATTTAAAATTTCTTTAAAACATCTAATAAAGAGGTATATGGCAAGAGATTGCAGTTCTAAATCTCAAATCAATTCTAATCCAAGGTTCTCATCTTCATAATCGTAGGGTTTATTGCCAAATTAAACTCGTACTAGTTACATATCTTTGTAAGTTGTAACATCCTTAACAATTTTAGTGTTTCATTGTTTATTCTCTCTGCTTAAAGTTTACTGTGGGGAATCGTTGACAGCCAACCACAAATCATATCTGATAAGGATGGCTCACCAAGAAGTCAATATTATTTCCATTTTCCACGATCACAACTACTCAATTTTTTGTGACCTTTACGTT